AATTTCTAAACCCAATAAGAAAACAATTTTGCATTAATAGTGTGTTGTTACTACTACTGTGTCATTGTTGCACTGAACTTGTTAGAATCACCTTTGGCAATTTAAATAACTATAAATAAATCATTTGTAATTAAAGCAGTGGACACGACACTCAAGTAACAGCAGAAACATACATCAGTGGTGCAGTAAACAGTGGTTGAGTATCAGTTGGCGGTAATGCCTCTGAAACTTATGTTTCAATGACATGACAAAGGTAGCAAGGACGCCATTGGATGGGATGTTTTTGTGATTATACATACCCTTCACTCATGAATTACTGTGTACTGTCTGAAAGTGCATCAAATTCTTATGATATGCTTGCAAAGCACTCAATATTACATTCCAAGAAAAAAAATGTATTGGTTCGTGCGAGTAACTGAATATATAATTATATTGCAATCAGTCAGCTTTAATTAGTGCCTAAAGTAATAAAATATTAAAAATTACACCCGAAATACGTGCACAGTTTGGTTTCCGGTGGCATTCACTTCAAGTGAAGAAAAAAATACTCGTGACATTGGTCCTGGTACATGGCACATCAAACGATCATAGAACATAGTGGTGTCTCCCACAAAGTGATCCTCTGCAGCAATATGCAGCACGATGAAGTTAAGTGAACGCTGTACGAACTTGCTCACTGAGTTTAAAGATATTTGAAGGAACGCGTGGTGCATGACGCACCTTCAAAGTTGATATGGACAACTGTTCACATTGCCTCTGAAGGGAATACAACAGCTGTGCGATCTCCTCACAAGTGAACTGCACAGCTGAAATACATTAGTGAACATCTAGGGAGTCTCTGAAGCAAGCATTCAGAATGCACAGCTATCAGCGCTTTTCATGATTAATCGCTTTATCTTGCCTGCCTCATCTAGAGACCAGTTGATGAGCTTACAGAGAAAGAGCACTTAATTGGTGTAGCTTCTAAAAGTCTAATCCTTTCTCATACCCTGCCACGTAAGTGCTGCTCAGCAGGAAGTCGATGCACAGCAGGCAGGCCAAATATCTCTGTGAGAGTTGTAGCAAAATCCCACCAAGTAGTGAAATCACTATTATGATTTATATATCATAGTTTCGCTTCGTCGGTCAAATGGAAGTTCACATTTGTGAGCTTTTTGCTGGTGTTCCACTTATAAGCATCTGGAGCGCCCTAAGACAGTCTTGAATAAGTCATCGTGAAAGGTTGTGGTAGTGTCTGGCTCCACAGTTCCAGCAGTTACATGGTGAGTACCAGATGTACGCTGTTCAAATGGAAGTGTTTTACAGGCAGGATTTGACCCGAAGAAGCACTGGTTTACGAAAAGGGCCAATTAGAAGCAGGCCAGCAACTATAGTCATCTTTCTCTTTTCTCTTGCTCGAGCCACGTGTCCACTGTCTTCATTACAAAGTAAATAAAATGCATAGTGCATTCCTCACATTAATATTTTGTTTCTGTTTTTTTTACACTTTATGCATGCGTATTGATGATTGATTGATATGTGGAGTTGAACGTCACAAAACCACCATATGATTATGAGAGACGCCGTAGTGGAGGGCTCCGGAAATTTCGACCATCTGGGGTTTTTTAACATGCACACAAATCTGAGCACATGGGCCTACAACATTTCCGCCTCCATCAGAAATGCAGCCGCCGCAGCCGCGATACGAACCCGTGACCTGCAGGTCAGTAGCCGAGTACCACAGCCACTAGACCACTGCGGCGGGGCGATATGCATGCGTATTGTACTGGTTTGCTTAGCCTCTTTCAGGCTTATATACAGAAGTTCTAACTCAGAGAAACCATTAAAAGCTTTTCGTAAATGAAGTACATTCGAGGTAAAGCAAGTTTTTCTTAACTAGTGCCACTAAGTATGCCTGTCATTTATGGTTCAGGCAGGTTTTGAAGATTTTCAAGGGTGTAGAGCAGCATCCCAAGTAAATATCTTGCTATATAACTATGTTTGTAATACACTATGGGTAGATTTAATGCACTAGATATACAGAAACGTTGGTTAGAAATGTTCAGTTGTAATCAGGTCTCCAGAATGGAGAAAACTAGAATAAACACAACCGTTAGAACAGTTGTAGTATCAATAGAACCCTATCCTTCCATTTTACTTTTTAGCAGCCTTTGGAGAACTGTTCAGTTTACTCATTTTTTTAGTTTTGTAAACCACAACCATGATATTTCTACGCAAGCCGACTTCTTTGATTTTGTGCAACTGGGTGTCACCCACAAAAAACTGTCAGCACCACTCAGCGCAGGCCGCAGGGCAATGTTTGGGAAGCTTCACGATTGTTTCACATTGTTTCATTAAGACTACACACAAAATGTGACTAGCAATGTTTATTTGAGTTTATGTAAGTACCAGGGATAACTCAGGTATGTTTGATACCAGACGACACATTCTACCAATGATCAAATAATCGACGTGTCTAATCTTATCCCTGCTATCATCATACAGAGTGCATTGTTTGAACTTTGACTTTTTCAGCGAAATGAGATCACAACAATGGCCATCTCTGGTGCCGTAGTTGTCTGTCGCCACTAAAATGCCATTGCGGGAAAAATAGGAAAACAAATAAGAGAAAAAAACCAAATGACAGAAAAATATATCTAATATGGAACGACACTCAAACCTGCATGCTCTCCAAGGCAGTGCAGTATTCTACCATATATCCATGCTAGTGCTTGAAACTCCTTTGCAAAAGACCCTATACAGGCTTCATATTAGGAACGAACACTATTAACACATGTAATACAGCATGATTAATGAGTACATTAACAACATGCACCACACAATGGAAGTTGTGCAACTAGTGGGTTGTTAGATGCTTCAGCCCTATAACAAAAGGCTCAGCCACAATTCCACGTCATTGGCCACAACATCAACAACTGGCACATAATGTCTCACAGGTGTGTCAATCCCAGAATGACGAATAATGGTATATTGAATCCTTCTCTACTCCACAAAAATTATTATGATGATCTATAGCGTAGTGGGTGCCTCCCAAGCTTACTTGTACTAGTTGCCAAGGAAGCCCATAAGGCCCCATGATCTGTTTCCGCAGAATCTCAATTAGGGTGATTCTACGTAAGATCGAACAATGCATGGATGGTCAACCTCTTAAATTTTTTTGAAATTTCTATATATTATTGCCTGATGAGTATAAAAAAGATATCCGCAATTGGTCTTGCTGTAAAAAATTTTTTCCAAGCACAGTAAATCAATAATGACGAAGAGGTGGAGTGCCACGCTTACCTGCTCTGCTGTTTTTTTCGAATTTGGCAAAGAATCTCACAAAATATACAAAAGCTATGTACCTCATATTTCTTTAGATAAATATAGACATATTTGCGCTTACACTCAAATATAGTTCGAATCTCAGGATAGTATAGATATTTCTATGAAAACTCTCAAATTTGACCTAACATTTGTTTGCCTAGTCTGGAGGCCTTTATTTTAAAAAGGGCCTATGACACAGCAGTGAAAATTCTCCATTACTTTCTCAGCATGCTTATTTATAAAACTGCCAAAGCTTATATTATGACAATATATAATTACGCTAACTCCAAGAAAAGTGCCCCGCCGCGGTGGTCTAGTGGCTAAGGTACTCGGCTGATAACTCGCAGGTCGCGGGATCGAATCCCGCCTGCGGCCGCTGTATATCCGATGGAGGCGGAAATGTAGGCCCGCGTACTGAGATTTGGGTGCACGTTAAAAAACCCAGGTGGTCGAAATTTCCGGAGCCCTCCACACCGGCGTCTCTCATAATCATATCGTGGTTTTAGGACGTTAAACCCCACAAATCAATCAATCAATCAACTTCAAGAAAAGAGCATGCAAGGAAAAATTCTGACGGCGATTAAAAAGAAAACGATTTTTGATAGTTTTTATACGTTCTCCACTTAATCTAATTCACATCAGCTTTCACAATCAATAAAAACATGTTGCAATATATGGTTTCACTTGCAGTTACGGTCCATCAAAAAAAGCGCCCTTACGCAAGGATAGGCAATGGTAGATCAGACTTTCTGCCCGCTTCCTTCAGTTCTTTAAAGGGCCCGTGAACTACCTAGAGGTCGAAAGTCAGTTGTTGTGGGGAAATTGTGCACGAGCGTACGACAAATACGAAGCTGTGAGAATTTTTCGAAACGGTGCAGGAATAGCGGAGTTAGACGCGTTTGATTATCGAAAACGTGACGACCACGCCTTTCACTCTCTCCTGCGCTTCCCTCCGCTGGTATCCTTTTCCACGCCACGGAGGAAGGAAAGATATCTTTCCTTCCTCCGTGTTCCACGCTGATTTCCCCTCTCGCCGAGCTATGGTGGCTAGCCGAGATGCGGCGCGGCCGCTTTGTTCACTCCACTGCCCCCTTCTAGTACACTGTAGGGTGCCTTGATGCCCGCGCGCTCCGCTGCGCATCGAGGCACTCTAGTACACTGTACTGCTCAACGTTACTCTAGTAACGTTGGTACTGCTAGTGTGTATGGTGGCTACCATAATGGGGCCACAGAACACCTATGGGGTGATCAGTTTATTCTATGTGGTTTATTCCATAGCCTCTTAGATTTCCTTTGCTTGCCGGATGAGCGCGAAACACCCGTCATTTATGGCAGCGCTACCTACGTAGGAATAAGGGCATTTGTACTTGGCCTTTAATATCGGCAATTTTGGCGTTTGCTAATTTTAGAGGCTATGTCTTGTATCAAAGGGGTTGCCTGCTGAATGAGCGCAAAGCACCTGTCAACTATAACGGCGGTACTTATGTAAAGTTATTAATAATTACGTTTACGTCTTTTTAAAACTTTTTACGTTATTTTTGTTGCATATAAGCTTCAAAAACGTAAAAATTTCTTTGAAGACACCCTATTTAAGTGGCGCCATCACTATAGTTCCGACGACGGCCACTCTTCAAGTGACCGTCAACAATCCGGCAGGCAAAAAAAATCTAGGAGGCTATGGTACAGTCACGCCACCTATAGATCGTGAAAGTAGTTCGTGAAAAAACTGGTAGGTGTTCTGTGACAGAGGCTCGTAACGCGCTGGTAGCGCTGGTAATTTGGTAGGTGTTCTGTGCTGCTATCGCATCGACAGCGACAACACAGGGCGACAACCGGCAAGTTTATTTTGCGTGGTTTCGTATAAGCGGTGGTCGCGCATCGTACCCTAACATATAGGTGCATAGGTGATATATAGGTGATATATACGTCTTTCCCGGCACTCCGTAACTCGTTGTTTTGCTTCCAGAAGGCCCTGCTTCTGTGGCCCTGCCTCGAGCGTGGCTCTACGATGAGGTAAGTCGCGCCCACTTGGCACGAAACGGGAGTTGCTTGAAGGCGGGCGTTTCAGCTTGTGTGTTTGGTCCACTGTTATAGTTGGGCACGCAGTAACTTGTGTGAGGTACCATGGTATTCAGTAACATCACCAATCCTGAAACTTAGTGTCTAACAACTGAGTTTCTTAACAGGTTATGGCCTGTCGTAAGGATGCTCTAGATGAGTGGCTTGCTTAGCGTATTCGCTTTGTGTAAAGGTAGGTACGTCGGACGTATGTGAAACCAAGAGCTAGATGCGTCGGACGCGTATACCCGTAACCAGGAGTCTAAAGATGCGTCGGCTGTCGCGCTTTCCCACGAGTTTGCACGCAAGTGACTCCAAATTCGACCTGCCCATCCCGCCGGTTCCTCGTTTGTTCGCACGATATACCTCGTGGACCTGCGGAAGCGCGGATCAGGGAGGCTAAAGTTACGTTGGACTCTGCACGTTCTCGCCTACTCAAGCTTGGTTATACAGGGTGTTTACCAACTTGGAAAAGTTGGGGAATTTCTGAAAAACCTGGTCAGGTCATGGAAACTGACAGCAGTTTTGTGCGACCGACACAAAAATAAGCATTAATCAAAGCTTAAAAAGCCGCTCTTTCAACTGTAACTACAGTGAGCTGCTAATTGATTCATTGATATCTGGGGTTTAAGGTGGTGGTCCCACCATGGCTGCAACCACTCCGCCTTTTACGCATTGTTTGCGGATGCACTGGGCTCGCTGAGTTTCACAAAGAAAACTGAATTCGGCTACTTCAAAAAGCTTATTATCCCCTCTTTGAAATGACATCTGATTTCAATGCCTGGTCCGAAGCGTTACTTAGTAGCAATGAAAAAAGTGTGAGCAACAAAAGTGTTTTCGCTGTACAAGCCTCCATTGTACTGCGAGTACGGCGAAACTATTCAATGTAACTAAACGGAATTTGCTGTGCCTCTAGACGAAGTGCCATTCAAGGTTTCTATGAAGAGATATTGAACATAAACTAATTAGTATTTTTTTACGTTACTGTGAAAATGGGCAAAATAATGAACATTTGTGTAGGAATATTTTTCTTTCTTTACAAAGCAGAACCATAATATTTAGTGGCTATGTAGACTGCATTAGACTTATTTTTCATGTGAAATCGATTAGTACTCTGACGAAAACTTGATGAATTAATATTGTGTCAATGGGGCAGTTTATGGGTGTACTTGGTCATGCATTACCGATGAAGCCACAAAACTATACAAGCTGATACTCTGAACTTGTTTATAATAAAGTAGCAGGCCCCTTTCTGTGATTCTATGAAGAGAAAATTCATTTATATTTATTAGAGAACCTACAAGACAGCATTGAATATAGCTAAATTTTCTGCTGCTGGCCAGTTTCATAGAAACTCGCTTTTTATTTCTTTTAGATGTCAACTACCAATGAGAATTGCACATTAGTAGATGTATATTGTCTTGTATCTATTTGCGCTCACTAACTTGACGACTCGGTGCTTTAAACTAAATATTTTCAATGAATGATAAATCCAACACGCGTTTTTTGGTGGTAGCTCCATCTATTAAATGAAAAATCAAGTTGTTTTATGCGAGTTCGAACATTTGCCAAATGTGGCGCAATTACACATAATGAAACGGGTAAAACAGGTATGGATTATATCTCCAGAATTCATGGTTTGGCTCACAAGGTAAGTCTAGTCACCACACGTTACAAACACCAACCATAAAAGTAGAAGGGCTGAGTAATGAATCCTTTCCACTTGCACCACATCCGCAGGTGGGGCGGTGTCATCAAGGGGCAAATGGTTTCGGTTCGCCGTAAAATTGCACGTTTATCATGCGTTCGCAGAACCAGCGTTCCCCGCAGCATCTTTAGTAATGTGCAACCCTTCGTGGTTCGGCTGCTCGTGTTTTGCGCGTTCCTTTGAGTTTATTCATGTCTGTGAGGTTCGATATTGTGAAAGAAAGGACGCTGACATGCCATGCGAATGATATGTATGTAGTGCCGCTTCAAACGAAACGCGATCTTTTTTCTTTCTTGCCTTGCATATGGAGACTGTACAGATTTCACACACTCGACAAAATGCAAAAGTATCACAAAATACAATGAAAAATCATCAGCTCTGAGCTGACTATTGGTCAATAGTTTGGCATTCGTACCAATGGTTCGATGCTCACAGTCCACTCTGGTACATCCTCTTGTCCCTTCACCACTTCAAGAAACTGGCAGACTGATTCGCAGAAGTATTGTCTCACAGATTGCACTTCTACATTCCCATTTTCGGTGGACGTTCCCAAATCTTGTAATTGCCGAAAATTTCAGAGTAAGCCTGTATGGTCAACGAAGAATAACCTGACTTTGACGCCCATGAGAATGGCCACATGAAAAAAATAGTGCTGATACATATACTGCACCACTGACGAACATTTTCGATGCGAAGCATTTTTTTGCGTACTGCGAACACTTTTGGCGTCTATGAGCGTATCTATTTATCTATCTATCTAGCCCCTTACGTTTGGGTGCTCTCGTGATCGCGTGAACCAAATTTAGTTAGCAGTATAATATAACTTCATGAATATGACGCGATAGTCAAGATATGAATACTTTCATAATATGGTATGGGCCACAGGTGATTGACACTTGGAATCTACCCAGCAATGACGAGAACTCATAGGAGCAGTTTCAACACGTCAGCATTAGGAAAAACTTGACATCGACAACATTGATCCGAAAATTCAAAGAATAAATGTCAAGGTCTCAGCTGGAATCGAACCCAAGCATTATACATGGCAATCAAGCATTCTACTACAAAGCCACGCCAGGTTTCAGACTACTTTTCAAATAGACCCTAATGTTTGTGAAACGTTAATTGTAGTTACCATGCTCGCTATCTCATTATATAATGATTACATGTGTAATCCTACAATACAGTCGTGTTGTCGGGTTAACGTCAATTCTAGTTGGGTGTCATGCGCTGAAGTCGATTTATGTAAGAGCGTTCAGGGGTACCATCCTCGTGAGTACCAGCGCTTCATATCAGGTTATCGCTTCTGGTGTAGCTAATACTCATGTTCCTTGTTGACATTATCACGCAAGCGCAAAACTACTATACAAACATCTGCAATGTGTGCCTGTGTGTGCAAGATTTGTATATATATTTAGCATCATTTCATGACATGTCGCGATATAAAAACTGCAACATGGTCACCTTCCGTACGCATGCTTCGTATAACGTCGATTATTAAGGTACGCAGGACATGCTGGTTTATTTTTTGAAAAACTGTTGTGGCAACCTAATTGCAAACTTGTCGACGGTGCCTGTAAGTCAATATAAAGAAAACCCACTACATTCCAGAACAAATAGGTGTATTCCTGCTGATTAGCACAATCATAAAACAAAACTGGATTCTGTAACTGTATCGCTCCCAGAAAAGTTATGCGTTCTGATTTCTTTAGAAATGCCGACATGCTCGTGCTTGCTAGAAAAAAAAAGAAAAATAAAACAACCATTTCACATGGGACCTTTTCTCAAAAGCGTTCCATATGTTTACCGATCGGCCCTATCCTGAGATGCCACGTCATTCTCGCAGGCACACTATGCTGCAACGACTCTTTTACAATAAAACCGTATGGCACTGAAGGAAGAAGAAAGACGGAAATATTGCAACGCATAATTTTGAATACACTATATTCTCGTTGACACATGTATCTACGTGCGTAATAATTACACTGGCAAGTCTTGCATAATTGTAATACATCAGCTTTTTTTTAGTGTTCATCGTACATTCAAAAATCACCAATGGAAGTGTATTTTGCTTTTTCCAGTGAATGGCAACCGATCTAGCAGAAAAGAAATAAATCTTGGATTGCATGTAATAGTTTAAATACGTGCACAATTTACGCTACACAAACTCGATAGTCAAGACAATGAGGAAAATTATCAAATAACTATACCTTATACAGCCAATGCATGTTCAGACTATATATCTTACTTTATAAGCACCCTTGAGTGGCCCCAGGGTGCTACGTAACTCTCATTGATAATCTTAGCATCGCTGGCGTCATCCGGTGGACATACACGTGCGAAGGGTTCCCCTTCGAAGGAGAGTCAATGGTTAATAGCAGCGCCCCCCTCTCTATCAATGCATTGTATGGGTGCACATTCTAGGCACTATAGTACGAGACAGACTTGGCGTACCGACTATTAGGGGACAAGGGGGTGGGGTGCGCCCGCCGTGTCCCCCTCATGTGCACGCCTGATGCTGATAGATTTACCTGTACTCTGTTTCCTACATCAGGTGCAACGCTGTGAAATCTATGCAAGAAGTTTGGTCAGAAACATGTGTGACTTCGTGAGTCTGGCGCCTAGCTTTCATTATTGTAAACCCTCGTGTGAGACAAGCACGAACCCGCCTGCAGAATGCCGCGAAAGGCTACAAGTAAAACATCAAGAAATAAGAACCAAGACAAACCTTATAACGGGGCGTTTTTATCTCGTAGGCACAAAACAGAAAGAAGAAGATAAATCATCATCATGTCTGAGATGCGAAAATAATCCTACTATTTCTTAGTGTGAATGCATTTATTGCGAAAATCCTCGCTAGCCTTCACAGCGTTGCACTTGATGTAGGAAACGTAGCATAGGAAAAAACATTCGTAGAACACATGACCATGGGTTCAGAGGTGTGGCTCTTATGCAGGTGCCGTCATAATCCCTTATGATTTTCGAATATGCATAACCCCCATTTCTCCCGCCCTCCCACTAAGTGCGACGGTGAGCTCGATTGAGCTGCTACTCGATAATCTTTGTGTTCATGTGATTCCATTGCACTTGAAAATCTGCTCTTGGCGAAAATGATGAATTCCCTAGAGCAAACACTTCGTGGGAGCTTAGTTTACCACGATCTAGGTAGTAGCACACAGATGGTGAAAGTAAGACGGGAAACAACGTGAGCCAACTTATGGATGTCATCCCATATCCTAGGTTGTCC